CCTCCCACCTGCAGTTGCCGTGGCCGTCTCGGATCACATACCTTTTCTCGAGGGATCGAACCGAAGGAGCACCACGAAGCCAAAAAGATTGGCAAATGCACATGAGCTTCGAATCTGAGAATCCTGTCCCCAAAGAACCCCAGTTACGTCTCGTCTGAACCTCTTCCCATGCAAGGAAAACCAGCACACCAAGATGCTTGTATTCCAACCACAGAGGCATGTCCTGACAGTCCTGTGCAAAGCAAGAGACAAGCGCGTCCGATTAGAGGGATGATTTCTGACCACTTGGCTCATATACAGACGGACGGCCAGATACACATAGGCTGACATGTTGACGCAATGGTATGTTGGCATACTGATCTGTTGACCACATAAAGACCTATCTATCCAATAAAAAAAGAATATACATACATATATATATATATATAGACAGGGCAGGGATGAAGAGGGAAGAGGGAGGGCGTGAGAGAGATAGACAGATCGAACGACCGACAGAGATCAGTGCAGTTCTTGAAATGTCCTTAGCTGCGCCAGCTGGCGTTTTCCGTCAGACGTCCAGGACTAGGTTCGCAGGTTCTTGCTTGCTTGCTTGCTGTGGGTCAAAACCCAGCGAGCTGGACCGACGCCGAGGCGCCCCCCACCCGCTTTGGTTGTTGAGGGTAAAAAGCTCCAGGTTCTATCGCTCTGTACGAGGTACTGGTAAGAGGAAAAGGCAGCGTCCGGACCCTCCCCCCGCGCGAAGGTTGGCGCACCTGTGGCTCGTGGCAGGTGTCAATTTCCGCACCCAGGGATTTTCCCCGGAGGGGCTCGGCTGCACTCCCTTTCAGAGAGTGAATCCCCCACAGCAGCTTGCAAGTCCGAGCATCACACAAGAGTCTCTGACCGTTCCCCTCCTCTCAAAGCTAAGTCCTGGGAGGGCTCAAGGTACTTCAAGAAGCTTGGCATCTCCCGCATCAAACACATTTCACGTTGCAGTACTGGTTTCCGTGAGAAGGCTAAGGGCGTGACACTCTGAGTGCGGCAAAGACCAGCAACAAGTGAGTTCGTCTGAAAAAACATTCCCCGGCCTCGTAGTGGCAAAAGCTACGCAGTGCAAAGGACCGCTCAAGTTTTTCGAAATTGTACATGCAGCACTCAGTGGGAGGAGCAATCCTCTCGATGCTCACAAGCGGACCTTCTTCTGTCGTTTGAGCGGCGGCCGATCAGGACGGGCCCCCGCTGGATACTGCCGCACTTCCCCATGCCCTGGCGTCGTCGCCCGGTCTTCTGCGGCTGCCACCCGGAGGAAATGCCGCGCCAGTCCCCCGGCGGCCGGCTGAGGGGGTCAGGAGCGGCGGTGCGCAGCGAGCGGGCAGGGAGCTTCACCATCATGTCCGGCATGTACATGACCACTCGCTTCGACTGGTGCTGGGGAAGGCTCGTTCCCCCTTTGAATGTATTTCGCTCAAGGCAAAGGCTCTTCCCCCCCATGCTTGCGCTTACGCTGTGCTCCTGCATGGGGCGTGTGGGTGGTCGTCTACCCAATACTTCCACCATTTCGTCCCCTGGGTCTTGTCCTTCACTTCGTAGATCGCGAAGAACTCGGTCAACCATGTCTTCCCCCGCGTCCACGAAAAAGGTGGCGGTTGTTGGTGGTGGCTGCCGTTTGTCATCTGGCTGGTCACGTCACTTCCCGCCTGCTCGATGCTACCGTCAGGCTGGTTGTCATCTTCCAGACCCATTTTCGATTCTTCTCGAAGCGATTCTTCGGTCACCGAGTGGAACACAACCTCCCATGCTTCTGCGGATGGCCAGACTTGCTTGAGTCCCGCGTTCACTGTGTCGACTCCCCCGCTGTGGGGCCAGAGGATGAGAACGAACTTCACCTTCTCCCGATTTGGAGGCATCGTCCGGAGGCTGTGCCTTGGTGGCTTTGTAGCCCTGCTGCCTGCACGGATTCGGTCGCGACCTGGCTCCTCCACTGGCTCGGAAGGAGTGGCGTGAGGCTGTGGCAAAGGACCTTCAAAGATCATGTCCCCCTCCGTTTCGGCGATGACCGGCAGTGGGACCACTCTGCCGTCCAAGAAGGCCCGAAACTCTTCTCTGGTCACCCCCATGGCAACTGTTCATGCTAGCGAAGATCACCACATGTGTCCTTGTGGTGCCTTCCGCCCTTGCTTGTCACAAACACTGCTTCACGTTGCCTCCTTGCAAGCTGCTCCGCTTGCCGTCTGCCTTCAAGCCTTGTGTTGTTGAGTTCCTCCCTGCGCCCCTTAGGACGCGGAACGGTAACACTGGGAGTAGCAGGTGTGGTTTCCATGTCAGCTCTACCAGCGCTGCTACTGCTGGCCGCAACCTGCTCTGAACCGCCCGTCTGCGTCGACGAGCTTCTCCGTTCCACCGCCCTGTGTCTCCCACAAAGCTTGGCAATCTTCCTTGCCACTTGAACTAGCCCAAGCAAGGCTAGTAGATGCAAAATGAGCATGTACATCCAGAACCCTGCAGCATTGAAGCTGCTTTCTTCTTCCTGCGGTTGAGCCGCAGCCACGTTCAGGCACATTGCCAGTATCGCCGCCACGAAGCCCCTTCGAAGAGGCAACATCGTGGTCAGCTCAGCGATCCTTGGACCGTTTAGGGCTTTCGTTCCCAGGTCCGCCACGTTCGTTGCAGTGGCCTCCTTTCGGATGTGCACCTTGCCTTGCTGCACATAGTCCTGCAGCCAGAGCTCTCGAAGCTCAAGGTGCTTCAGCTTTCCGACGCCCTTTCTTTGAGCGATGCCTTTTCCCGCCGACGAATCCGTGTTGGCCACACGCGGAAGCTTATGGCCGATGATCTCCCAGATCTGTTGCGACATTCTCCCTGCCGCGACACCGCGGGTCAAGGCGTAGTACTCCGCCTCGCTTGACAGAGCGACCGTAGTTTGCCTCGCGCGGCTGGTTTCAATCATGTGGGATCCAAACATTTCCACTTAACCGCTCATGCTTTTCCTCGTCTTAGGGTCCTGGGCCCAATCTGAATCGGTATAAACAACCAACTCTTTTCTGGCCTCTTGGTAATTGGCGGCCCGAATCCCGAATGCCCGCCCCCCGGGCCACAATCCAGCGAGGTCGTCATTGGCCAAGGTGAGGTCCTCGATGAACACGTCCCGGTCCGGCGTCACCACCACGTAGCTTTCACCTGTCACGTGAACAAAGACAAGACGTTCGTGCCACGGAGCAAGGCCCCCCACGTCATAACGGAGGAAAACCCTCCGATTAATGAGAGCCCTAATGCGTCAGCCGGACAGCAGCCAATTGCTGCTGAGCCAAGGCCCGCTGCGATTCGACTGGGCTATCTGCCGTTTCCTCAAGATCCTCTCCAACGCTTGAAGCCCCCCTCAGAAAGCACCAAAGGCGAAAGGCCACTGAAGAATAACCAAAGGAAGGACCCAGGGAAATTTTCACCAGGAGTTTGCTCGATTCCTTTGGCCACGCCCTTTTCCCTTTCGCCCTTCTCCCTCAGAATCGCAGCACTGCTCGGAGACGGCGCTCTTGCAACGGTCCCCGGCAGCTCGGGCGGCGGTCTCAACGATTTCGGTGACCTGATTGCTGCGAGAAACCACCCGTCGAAGCCCACCACCTCCGGAAAGACCGGACACAGCAAAGAGCAGAGGAACCACGATCCGAACCAGCGTTCCAGCCGGGCGCCCATGGCAGAAGTTCTAAATACTTGAGCCTTTCATATTGCGGCCGCATCCCGTGTTGTCAAGGGTATTTCTACGCATTCGCCTGGCTTCTCCTGGCCCGAGGGTCTTCTCAATGGTTTACTGTGTGTCTGTTAGGGCGTGCAGCTGAGGGGCCTCCAGATGCCAGAGGCTGCCTCATGGTGGGGCAGGTCTTTCACCAGATGGCACACAGGATCCCCCTCCTATATGAAGAAAGTTCAATAATACGATGGGCAGCGAAAACGAGACAGAGACAGAGAGAGAGAGAGAATAGAAACAAAGATACATAACTAAGAAGGAGGAACAATGAGGCTGGTTTAGCGACAAAGCGAGAGCGAGAGAGAGGGAGAGAGAGAGAGAGAAAGAGATAGAGAGAGAGAGAGAGCGGGAGAGAAAATAGAAGAGAGAGAGAGAGAGTGAGGAGCTAGAGAGATAGAGAAATTGATAAATAGGAAGATTGGTAGCTTTATACATGATAATATGTGTATATATATATGTAAACAGAAATAAACAGATAGATAGATAAATAAATAGTTAGACACACATATACATATAGATAGAGAGAGAGAGAGAAGAGTCAAGTAGACTCGTTCCTCCGTGTTTTGAGTGTGGGCGGTGTCCTGAGGTTGGCTTAGCCTTTGTCTCATTCCTGCGAGCTTGGAAAATAACTTGGTGCCATCGAACCGCTGCTTCTTGTTGTTCGTGGCGGATCGCTTGCTTGGGCTTTGCTTCATTCGTTTCTAGCCGGCTTTGGATTTGTTCAACAGAGTTGATGGGTTGCTCCATGCGTTCGTGGGGGGTAGCTGTTGGTTTGCATTGTTGTCTTTGGGTTTTTCTTCATGCAGCAGGCATCTGTGCGTTTTGCTTGTCGGCTGCTAGGTGCGGTGGCTTGCTGGCTCGGTCGCTTGGTAGCTTTGTGGCTCGGTGTCGATGGCTTGGCGGCTCGGTGGCTTGCGGGGGTTGCTAGCTTAGCAGGCAGGCTTAGCGTCAGATCTTGTCGTTGGCTCGGTGGTTGCCTCTGCTTCGGTGGCTCGTGGTTGTTCATGTTTGGTCATAATTTCCACCTTCGCTTTCTACGTTTACCTTGTAGCCTTGTAGCCGTCAAGCTGTACTTGGTGGCTTGCTGGCTTGGCTGGTGCTTTGTCTGGTGCTTTGTGTGGTGCTTTTCGCTGTAGCTGAGAATGATCTCTTTTGCTGGCTTGGTGGCTTCGAACAGTTGGGCGCACCAGATCAAACACGTTCAAGAACCCTAATGGCACAAGGCTGTCTTATGAACTGTGTTGTTGAATGTTCTGGTATTTCATAAGAGGCATTGATAGCAGAGTGATTCACAGACTCGCTCACTCACACACTCACTCACTCCAAACCTTGCTTGCCGACATTTCTAGCACATTCTCGGCAATGGCAGTTATCCCCAAAGGCCAACAGTACTCGCCGACTTCCTCCGCCACCAGGAGCGGGGCTGTCAAGGTCCAGATAGGGAACGTGTCTTGCCCAGTTCCTTGTAAAGCTAGAGATCTTAAGCAAGGCCTCCAAAACTAGTGGCAGGGCATGGTCAGATTTCTGGGTTTAGTGACGTTGTGACTTCCCTCTGCGATGTGGCTGCCTGAAGCTTGTGTGGGAATGCTGCCTACAGCAGACGCTAGCAACGATCGTCTAACATCCGCTGATGCCTACAATCCCAAATCGTTCTGCCAAGTCACGGCCCAAGAGCCAAATAATGCCCGACATCCCAAGAAATCTCATGATTTAGGCTTCGCTGAGTGTGTTAGAGCAGGAAGAAGAGACGTCTGAGGATACTGCGCAGATGAACTCCGCGCTCCACCGACCAGTCCCCGAATGCCTCGAATCTGCAGAGTATATGCCATACAGGAATGCACATGCAAGTTCACAGCCGGGTCTGGAGCTACTGACTTCAAACATGTGCTTTTGCACTTGGCGCAGACATGGCAGCTAAGAGGCTGGGTGATTTCCAACAGCCACCTTTGCTTCCGGGTCCGAGTCAATTAGATCACCGCAAGAAGTCAGGAATTTTATCGCTCCCACCACTCCGTGCTGCACTAGGGATGGTGCCCCAAAAAGATGAGTACTGAGTCCAAGCTTCCGACGTCTGACATGATACAATTTCAAGTACTGCAAGTGAACAACATCGCAACACGTGGTGGTTGATCTCTCGATGGCAGTTGCTGCAACTGCAACCATACTGAATCTTGAGACAAATCCGATGACCACAGTCAATACCAGTAGTGTTTCAACTGGTAGCTTTGGTTCTGGGGTGAACATTCGGTTTGAAGAGAACGTCTCCCGATTTGCAAGCAGGAAAGTTGCCCGGATTAGTCAAGGATTCAGGGTTGCCCGAGTACATGTACCTTCCTCCGCAGCAAGCTTTTCTTAGTCCTGCTGCACTCAAGAGCCGGAGAATTATCAAAAACGACCGTTCCGGAGATGTGCCAAGCGGACGAGTGACCAGCTCCTCGCCGAACCGCGTCTCGGCGCAGATGCACTCCAGCCATACTTCGAGGGGCATGCTGCAGTCAAAAGGGCGGCTGCCCCCACACGTGAGCTCTCACATCGTGTTCTTCCGAGTTTGTCCACGTGAAAATCGTTGGTTTGATCCGTTGGGAGGGTGAAGAAACGTGCGTCACAGAAGTCGCTTGAAACTCGAGACACTGAGCTACGACTCTGAGAAACGCTGAGGCTCGGCCCGGCGACAGGAGCTCAGAGAAGCTAGAGTAGTGCGGAATTCGAGGCACCCACAGCCCTGAGACCACCGGTCTTCGCCGCAGCGAAGTCTTCGTCCGAGTCCTGAAGTCTTGCTAAGCGGGAAAAGCCCAAGCAAAATACCCCCATGGCCCCCGATGGCCGCAGGGTTTTCAGGGTCCCCAGGCCTCGCCATCGCCGTGCTTAGGGCTGCTCGAGAAGATCTTGACCTCACCGCCGCGTCGACGCGTCGAGGTCCCTGAAAGCTCCCTTAAGGTCCCACAAGCCGGCTGTCATCCTCAAAGGAAGGGCTGGCTGCTGGCTTTCCCCCGCACCCTGCGCTGCTGTCGGCGTACCGGCTCGGAGACTTGGCGGCGGAAGCACTCGGAGCGCTCGTGCTCTTGGTCTCCCACCTCTCAGTCAAGGCTGCGCTTCTTAGCAAGTCGCTGTTTCTGACTTTTACGCAACTTCAATCTTCACCAAATTACTATCACCAGGACCGAGTGTGGCTGCTGTGATCACCTCCAGGAAGGTGTTTCGGATGACGACCGCCTGCGACATGTGACCTGCAGCAGACTCAGCTTTAAAGTTCGAAGGCCAGTCAGCTTGCCGGCTCTTGTCGCTTGGCGTCGACCCCACCATGCTGATTCTTGAGCTTCGGGTCTCTAGAAAACTGTGAGGCACAACGGCCAACACGTTGCCCTCCCGTCTGTAAATTACTGCACCGAACTACGAGTGGACAAGCGTTCCTCATCATAGCTCCAACCCGTGCACTCTCTTTGCTTGGCCTTTATCGGGGACAAGGTGCTGACTGCGGGTGACGGAAGACTTCGCGGTGAATCGGATTCTGCTCCCCCAAGCACTGGCCACAAAGACCTATAGTCGCTGTCTGACGGAGGTGAAAGATGTGTGACGTCGCCGCCCCACGCAATCGCATAATATCCTGCTTGCATTTCCGTGGAATTTTCTCTGTACCGATGCACGCCTGCCCGGAACCATGCGTTGTGCAGCTCAATTTGTTCACTTGGTGATGTTAGTGGAGGTGAAAGATGTGTGACGTCGCCACCCCACGCAATCGCATAATATCCTGCTTGCATTTCCGTGGAATTTTCTCTGTACCGATGCACGCCTGCCCGGAACCATGCGTTGTGCAGCTCAATTTGTTCACTTGGTGATGTTAATGGATGGGAGCTCCAACAACATCCGACAATTAAACCAACATCGTTGCGACTGACACGTAATGCTCTGCAAAGCTCTGACGTGGACTACGCGTGATGCTGAGCTCGGAGCTAAGCTAAGCCTGCTCCAGAGAATCCGACCGCCCTGTTTGAGTGTCCGGCCAAAGCCCCGGCAGGAGGCAGCCGCTGTCTCAGGATCTCAAACGGTGTAACCTGCTCGCTGTTCCGTACTTGTCCTGCTGCCTGCACATCGGAGTTGTTGACCGTGTGTCTGCAGAGAGGCTAGTGATAACAAGATCTTTGGCATCTGCTTGATTGAAAAGCCGCACGTAAGATAAGGCAAGCATAGGCAAGCCCCAGCCGAAAGGGCCGAGAAGGTCTCAAAACCCTTTGAGCCGGAAGACGAGGCCGGAAGCAACAGCAAATGACGCTCAACAACGCTTCTCGATGGTGACGAGAACAATCAATCATCTTCCTGCGCTGAGGATTCGACCCGCAGTGTGATAATACGGACCACGGACCCAGCAATATCCCGACTTGCGCAAGTGACCCTGCCCGGTATGATGCAATTCCGCCGTGGGCTGCCATGTTCTGCTCGGCGGTCACGTCGTCCCAGCTAGTCATGGCCTTGATTCCCGGCTACAGAAAGCACGACCCACTGCCCTGGACCCGCACCGGTTGCCCGGCTGCTTGCAGGGCGCCGTGTAGTGCGGCTCCAGCTTCTCCAAATCCAGGCCTTTCTCGAGAAGGTAGGCAATCTAGTACACCAGTGCTGCAAGTGCTGGATGCTGACAGTGATGGGGAAACCAAATGAACGAAATTCCCCGCTACACCCTCCCTCCGCTCCGCCCCAGCCGCGCCGGTCGCATCCAAGCCGAGGTGAAGGTGAAGGTAGGAGCGTGTCTGAGGCGTCGCCTGGAGAACGGATGCTCGCGCGATCTGATCCCTGCATCGTTTCTGGGCCTTCCAGTCCTCCCGCATCTCCTCCAATGCATCCTCCTCACAGGAAACGGCGAGTCCGGGTGTGTCAGTATGTCACCCATCCTGTGCTTGGCTAGCAGGGGTCGGCCAGGCTTGTGATCTCTCTCTCATGCTACCGGCATGCGATGTAACTACAGGGACCACGGACCGACCCTGAGAAAAAAGAGAGAAACTGTCACTTCTCGGGCGGTGCTGTTTTGAAGCATTCTGGATTTGGAGCCAGATCTGCAGCCACGGCAAGACCCTGGCGTCAGAAGACTACTTCCCTCGAGACATCACGAGACCCTCTTGAACACACAATCCTTGGGCAGCAGGTTCGCCGCATCCCAGACAGAGGCATTGCAAACGACAGCCTGAAAGGAAACTGCCCAGTAGAGTATGAGGTCAGGCTAACTTTCCAGCTATGGGGCCACAGCTTCAGGCTCACTCGAACGGCTTGCGGTTGGCAGTGCTCCACCTGTCCACCTGTGCTTTGCTTGAGAATCTACGGAGCATGGCCTCGTGAGCTCGAACCTCTCCCGTGGCACCAGCACCTCAACAATCCCGGGTGACGAGCAAGAGCGGGCCGAAGGGTAAGAGTGGCAAGAGCCTGGTATAAGAGGCATCAGACTGGCTCAACTCGCAGTTACGGCACCACTCTTTCTTGTCAACTCTGTTGCACTCACTTCTGCCGCGAGCTAACTTTGTCTCGATGAGTGCAATCTTCGGCACTTCGAGAAAGCTGTTGTGGGCAAGGGGGAACAAGCGAAAGCAACTCGCAAGAACCAGCTCCCCGATCGCAGTACCAGAAACGAGACATGGATACCGATGAGGTCTGCGGTCATATTCAGTCACATGCAGTAAAACAAATCGGGAGAAATTGAGGGAAGAATCTTGTGGGTGTGCGCGTGTATCACCGAGAGGGGAGGGGGAGAGAGAGAGAGAGAGAGAGAGAGAGAGAGAGAGAGAGAGAGCGAGAGAGCGAGAGAGCGAGAGAGCGAGAGAGCGAGAGAGCGAGAGAGCGAGAGAGCGAGAGAGCGAGAGAGCGAGAGAGAGCGAGAGAGAGCGAGAGAGAGCGAGAGAGAGCGAGAGAGAGCGAGAGAGAGCGAGAGAGAGCGAGAGAGAGCGAGAGAGAGCGAGAGAGAGAGAGAGAGAGAGAGAGAGAGAGAGAGCGAGAGAGAGCGAGAGAGAGAGACACACAGAGAGACACAGAGAGACACCGAGAGACACAGAGAGACACAGAGAGACATAGAGAGACACAGAGAGACACAGAGAGACAGAGAGAGACACAGACAGACAGACAGACAGACAGACAGACAGAGAGACAGGCACAAGACAAAGGCAGAGTTACGGAGATACAGAGATACAGAGACAGAGAGACAGAGGCACAGACACACGGAGACACGGAGACGCAGAGACACAAAGGTTCAGAGACACAGAGGCATTGAGACACGAAACACAAAGGCAGAGTTACGGAGATACAGAGAGATGCAGAGACAGAGCGACAGAGACGCAGAGACACGGAGACACGGAGGCGCAGAGAGAGTCACAGAGACACAGAGAGACAGAGTGACAGAGAGACAGAGTGACAGAGTGACAGAGAGACAGAGAGACACAAAGACACAAAGACAGAGAGATAGAGAGACAGAGAGACAGAGAGACAGAGTGTGTGTGTAAGTAGATAAGTAGCAAGTCAGTAAGTAAGTACTTAAGGAAGGAAATAAATGAGTAAGTGAGTAAGTCAGTCAGTCAGTCAGTACATGTTGAGCTTGGCGACAATGCTTGCGGCTTTAAGGAGCAGACATCGCACACCGACGGCGCAGCGATCTTCCACCAGAACCTAAAATAAGAACGATGGCACACAACGTCCAGGAATCAGCCAACAAGCGGCATGCTCTCAAGCCTCTGTAGACGGTACATGCGCGCAGGAGGCTTTGATCTAACAGCTCGGCAAAGAAGAACAACATTTTCAGGAAAAGCGTCCTATGACGTCTTGCCCGCCGGACTTTCCAAATCAACCAAAGTCCGATGTAAAACATGTCCTCAAGGGCAACTCCGCAAGAATGGAACAGAGTAGCGGAGCCTCTTCTACCCGAACATTCGTTCGGATCTCGCCACCCTCGCGGCGCACTGCGGCTGCGAGAGCATCAATCACGGAGCCCATGCCACCCTGCCGCAGAGGGCGGAGAAGTGGCTTCACAATTCCCGAATGGTCAGCTTTGAGATCTTCTTTTCGGAGACCCCGTTACGCCCGGGCCCGAGCATGTCTGATGGACGGCACCATTCCTCCCTGCGTGGCACTTGTTGCACAGCAGCTTCGAGCCATCGTTGCATGCTCTGGCCACTGTCAATGTGTCGCAGCTAGGCTTGGGCTTGGAGCAGGAACGTGTGTTGCAGATGCACCGACAACACCTGCCTTGGGGTAGGCAAGGCCACGGGTGCCTGAGCAGACTTCTCACATGCTCTCCAACAGCTGCAGGCATCATGATACGCAAACTTGCGGAAGCATGCGGCAGCACACAGACAGGGCATGCGTGATCCGACCTTCCCAATGGAGTTCGTCGACGGTAAATGCCATCGCTGCGGTCGTGGTACCTCGAAAAGCTCTTTCTCCTCTTAGAGCTGGGGCACTTGGCGCTTTTTGCTGGGATCCAGGCCGCTGCAGTCTAAGCCCGAGAGCGAAAAAGCCAGAGCATCGAGCCAGGCTCGCAACCTCAACAGCGCTCTCATGCTGGACACTGGCCATTGCCAACTCAACTCTCTAACATCCAGGAACCTGCTACATGCACGGTTTTGAAGCCGCGTGCAGAGCTCCTGACCAGCTCCCCTTTCGCATCTTGCCCTCGGCCTCCAGCTGGTCAAGAACCTTGCAGCAGCTGCGCACGCACGACATGCTGGAAGTATCGCACAATCCAAAGTTGCCGAAATCGGCGTGAGCTCACATCCGAAAAACCTGGCACCCCATGCAGAGACGAACGACAGAGCGCCGCTCCGCCTTGCTGTAGGGCTCAGAGAGGCTGGCGGCTTCGCGGATGGCCGGCAAGACCGCTCCAGGAAACTGCGAAACAGAGCCCAGGGCTGCTGTACAGTTTCACTCTTTTTAAATCTCTGCATCCGTAAGTCTCTTCGGTCTGCCTTCAGAAGGAGCGGGAGGAGCTGCCACCTCGGCACGGGGAAACGTGTTCCTTCTTGCGTCCAAAGCCCTCTAAAGAATCCAGCCACTCGCCCAAAGTCCAAGACCGTCAAACTTGTCACCAGTGTGATGAAAGTCTGTCGTACTCTGGGTCGTGTAGCTCCGTTTGTTGGCACTGATTCTTCCAACGCGACGCTGTTCATGCTGCCCCTTCATGTCTCTGCACATGTAAGGCCTTACATGTAAACATACATTACATTACATTACACTGCCTTACCTTACATTACATTGCCGTACAGAACAGTACACTAATACATTTCAATACATTACAGTACATCGCATTGCACTATGTTACATTGCATTGCATGCATGACACTACATTCCACTACATTTCAGGGCAATGCACTGCATTACATCGCACACATACATCAGCAGTGATCAAATTCTTTCTTGTGGAAATGCTCTGAATGGCTGATGCCTTTCGCGGAACCCTTGCGGAACTTTCCTGAGGCACATATGTATATGTACATACATGCATACACAAACACACACACACACACACATATGGTTCTGTACATATATATATATATACATACACGTATCTATGTAAATATGTAGATGTGTATCCATATATACAAGCATACGAATGTAGATATGTACATATGTCATGTACATATGTACATACAAATAATGTGCATCCGCATATATATATATATATATATGTATATATATATATATATATGTATATACATATATACAGAATGGTATATATATATGTAGATAGAAAGATGCTCACCCCCCTCCCCCCCTTCAAAGACCAAGCTTTTCAGGAAAGAATCAACGCAGCCCTCATTGCTCCAAGAATGCGATCGAAAGGATCCTGACGGTAGGCGCACCTCTTTAAGGGTGAGGCGTCTTCATAGAACAAATTGGAAGGAGGTTACTTCAAAGGTATGAAGTGCACCGTTTTGAGGGGTCCTTATGACAAGGACCCGCTTCTACTTGGAGGCTCCTAGTCTTCTGAAGCTCTTAAACACCAAGGGTCCGTTCACCTATATCGTAGAAGCATTGTTCCTAAGTTGGTCTTTCAGCAACCCTTGTACAGCCAAAGTATATACTAAATACGTTCCCCATAGAAGCCTTTCAAACCGTTTATAGACCCCTCTGTATAAATCTCTACAGAAGCCTTCTAAATCCATTATAGGACTTTGAGAAATCCCATAAAGAAGCCTGATGGAACCTTTATAGAATCCCCACAAAAGCCCTCCTTGTAGGTGCATGGACCCCCGCATATCTTCTTATATCAGTCAAAACTCTGTATAGATCAAACGAAAATGCCGGCGAGCATGTTGAGTATATTGAAGCAACTATACAAGAATTCAATTCTACAGTCAGTTTTGCCGATGATACTACTTGTGTATGTGTACATGTATGTTTATACAGTATTGCGCAACCCGTAATAGGCACCAAATCATGTAACAGAAACCATTCAAGTAAACACGCACCGCTAGTCAAAACACAAGGAGTCCCAAACACGTTAAGGCGGCAACACACGAGATTACTATGGAAGCCGTCCATGGTACATACATGCAGCTCCTTGTCTTTTTGTGTAATGTCTCATCTTTGCCGTCCTGGCTTCCCAAATGCGAGCTTCTTCCTGTTATATCACGGTTTGTGTATATCACCAGGTCTCACGCGCGACACGTGCCCAAAAAATTCTGTATACATATGCGCCTGGTGCAACTTATGCAAACGCAAACCACCTAATTACTAACATCGCAAACGTAGGTAGCTTTGCAGAAGCATTTGGTTCTCGACATTTTCTTTGTAAGGTTTTAGGACACAGAGGGCGTATTCAATGCTATCTAAAAGGTGCCTATACCCACATATAAACGCCGGGGTGTAGAGATCATCGGATCAGCAATGGTCTGTGTAAGTGGAGACACTTTATACTTGATACTTGATACCCATACATGTATATATATATATGTATATATATATATATATAAATATATATTGAGCAAATGCACAGGTCATGCTTGCGTAATGTAGTCAACTATGCAATGCTATTGCAGTCGTGATGTTGTCGTTGCTGCGGCTGTTACTACATGGTTGAGAAACAAATATGTATATGCCGATTAGGTGCTGAAATCCTGTATTTCCCGAAGCCAGAAAAATATTGCGTACTCGAGACTCAAGCCCAAAGTTCCTCACCAAGGAATCATACTCGAACGGTGTAGCTCGTAGCGAGAGTTTATACCGGTTTCTCTCGTATGCGACCATGCACTACGCAGTTCTTACATAATACTGGTACATTCCAGTGGTATCGATTTCCAATACCTTACAGCCTGTTTGAAGAACCTCACCCTTGTCGTTGGAGTTTAGGATCTGGTGCTTCAGGGCTTTGGGGTTCGCAGCTTTAGATACGAAGCAAGCAATGAACTTTTAACCTGAAGCTGTGGTTGGGCTGCATTCAGGCTGCAGGGTTTAGGGCTCAGCGTGTGGGTTACATACATACAAATATACATACACATATACACATGTACACATACACATATACACATATACAGACACACATATACACATATGCACACACGACATATAGACAAAGAGACATATACACAGATAGACATATACACATATGAATATGTACACATGTACATATATGCATATCAACATATACATATATACACAAGTATACATATGTGCATATATACATATACATATATATATACACATACGCATGTATATATACATATACATATGCACATATACAGATACACACATATACACATGTACACATACACGCATATACACATGTACACATGTACAAATATACATACACGTAGACATATACAGATATATATATATATATATGTATACATACACATATGTCCATGCAAGCATGGATGTATGTATGTACGTACTGTATGTATGTAGGTGTGTAGATATATATATATATTTATTTATTTATTTATTTAAACATGTATATATATATATATATGTATATGCTCGCCCCCCCCCCCCGTTGACAGACCATGGCCTTGTGACACTGTACTCTTGGCAGGTGACTCGGCTGAGATATTGTATCTAAACACACCACACCCGACGGTGATCTGTAAAGTAAGACCGCTACAGTAGATATACAACGTATACTTTGACATGCCATGTACTGAGGACGCATGCATCACACGTGCGGCACATGGGTTACGTAATAGTTTTGTGGTAGTATCGGTATTAGATGGTATTGGGATGAGTATTACTATTAATATTTGTACTATTGTTTGCTGTAAGTATACATATCAATACTAGTAACTATAAATTAGTGTTAGTGCTCATGTTCGTGTTAGAGTTAGCGCTAGTGCCAGTGTCAATGTCAGTAATACAGCACCACTGCTACTAGTAGTATCAGTATCAGTCTTAATGCTGGGTTTAATAGCAGCTTCTATTCGCAGAAGTGCTAGTATTAGTATCAATATTAGAATTAGTTAGTTTTGATATTTTAGTAGATTGATAGTCACGTATATTAGCAGATTAGTATATCAATACATCAATGTATTCGAACAGTAAAATATTTGTATACTTGTATACTAGTATATTTGACATGTTAGTACAACTGGTGCATGAATACACTAGTATATTGGTGTATTAGTTTACTGGTATATTAACATACCAGTAATTCGTACGTTAGCATATTAGTATACTAGCATGCGTACTATATTCATGTATTGTCTAGTCATTTATAAGTATATCAGTATGTTGGCATATTAGTATACTAACTGGTCATGTCGGTGTACTTGCATATTGCAGTAGTCGTATGTAAGTATATTCGCATATTAGTATAATATGTTAATACAACAACGGGAAGTATATTGTTGCATTGGTATATGGGTATATGCTTATGCCAAAGCATTGATACATGAATGCACTAATGTATATATCTGTACCTTAAGATAGTGATATGTATTCCCGTGTATTGTTGTGTACATTCGTATATGCAGGTATCTATTAGTAGTGATATTAGTATTCATATCAATATAAATATGCTATTGGTATTCGGGGGAGTATTACGTCAATATTCTTAGAATTAGGACTGTTTGTAGTCGTATTAGTAGTCGTATTAGCCATAACATGAGTGTTCATGCTGGTAATATTACTGGCACTCTTGAATATTCAACAGATCATCAATGTCCGTATTTGTGTTGGTGATAGCACTACTGTTAACGCATAAGGGTTTACGTATTCGTATTTGTAGGAGTTGATATTATTATAAATATTGTGATAAGTATTCGTAGAAGTGCTAGCACTAGTACTACAATGTTATTGGTGGTTTACATTTGCAGGAATGTTGGTATTAGTACTACTCTTGATCACGTGAAAATACTAACAGTTGAAAACATGAGTGAGTTAAAGTATCTGTATTTTAATATAGTGGTATGCATATTTATGTACACTAGTACATACAGGTGTGTGTTAGCATTGGTACTAATATACACTATTATCAATATGAATATGATTATCGATATGCATAGGAGTATTAATAGCAGTATTAATCAATATTAGTATTTGTGTTATGCATATTCGTACTAGGCTATATAGAAGTGTAACACTAGTAGTAATGCTGGTATTAGCTTGAGCATTCAACAAATGATAATGTCAGTATTAGCAATGGCAATACGTGGCAATACCATATGTAGGAGTATCAATACATATGTATATAGATAGATAGCAATTCGTCTAAATATGGGCATGAGTATTGACAGCCCTTGCCTTTGCAAGTGAGTCGTAGCGCATGGTATGTCATCGGATGGGTCACAATCAGCCCTCCTGAGAATCAATTCCAGGAGTTCCAAAAATTCCAAAATGTCCAAAAACTTGGTCCAAAAACTCCAAAACTTCAAAAACATCCAAAATTTTCAAAATTTCTGAAATTTCAAAAATTTCCAAAGCGGCCCGACCTGGTGGACAGGATTTTTCCAAAACATAAGGGCGGACTTTTTGGAAATTTCAGAAATTTCCAAAACGGCCCGACCTAGTGGACAGGATTTTTCCAAAACATAAGGGCGGACTTTTTGGAAACTGTGGAAATTTCGGAAATTTTGGAAATTTCGGATATCCGGAAAATTAGGGTAGAAAACTTTGGAAATTTTGGAATTGAGTTTTTGAGGGCTGAGTGCCCCTTCCCCCGATGACAGACCATGCACTACGTGTGAGTTGGAAGGGCATGGTCTGTCAACGGGGGGGGCGACCATATATGTATACATATTCACATATTTGAGTGTGTGTGTGTGTGTACATATATAATATATACAAACATATATCTACCTAGAGAACCTAGAACGCATAATAAAGTAGGTTTTCCAAAATAACTAGGTTTTAAATTTGGGAACCAGGTTTCCAAAGTTCGATGTTTAGGAACCGGGTTTTGACCTCCGAATTGAAGCCATGACGAACTCAAGGTTCCGAAGCCGCAATCGCCCTGTAGACGAATTTTTATAGGCCTCGGGGTTTAGGGTGGAGTTTAGGCTTTATGGAGTGCTCCGGAACAGGGCTCTGCGTAAGGCCTCAAGGCTCAGAGCTTAGGTTCGGGATTCGGGCGGTTTAGGGTTCCAGGTTAAGGGCTCAGGGTTGAGAGTTTAGGGTGGGGTTTCGGTTTTGGGACAGGGCCTCTGAAGTCTGAACCCCCAGAGTTTGCCAACCCGGAGCCTTCCGAAGCCCCAAGAACCCCAAAGACCTCCTCTCACGAACTTAAGTCCCCAAGCCGCAAAACTCCCGAAGCTTCAACCCCGAAACCCAGAGCTCGACCCTACTTTCCTCTCGCCGCCTCGCTGGCGATTCTCGATCCACGACATTGCGTATGCCGGACTCTCGGGAAGCAAGAGATTTGGACACTTTAAATATACTTATATGGGGTTTATACAGGGTTCTCATCCTTACACCCTCCTAAAATTACACCAATTAAGGGATTTGTGCGTGTCAATCTCTGCCCTCCACGAGAAGCCCTGCATCGCAATATTTCCTGTAGGCCAGCACAAGATGCCTTTCCAGGGTTCGCCTAGCGGCCTGTGTAGGATGTACCTTGCGGGAAGTTCTGCTGTTGCGGCCAATGAAATCCTCAGACTGTTGAACCGAATAGCATATCGGATTTAAAACCCAGGGCCCTCGATCTGCCGCCAGCACCAGGTCCACCAAAAACACATGCTGCAACACATGCACTTTAGGGATGATCAAAAAGAGGGCCTGCCGAAACTGCAGAGCCATGTCGGCCAGGGCGGAGTATCTCCGCAGGAAGCGAAGGCCTTGTTCGCCAATCTGCGTTGCAGTTTCGCTCGGCAAGAATGCATCGCCTTCGTATAACCCACGTATACAGCTGTCTATGGCCGCACATGCTTCGCCCACCAAATCCATCATAGGACTTTCGTTGCTGCCGCCACTCGTCATGTACCGCACGAAACGGCCCAAGGTGGTGGTCAGCTCGCCCTTGAACCAGCTGCCTTTGGGGTAGTTTGTGGAAATCTCCCACTCGATAGTCGAAGGTTGCAGGCGAGTGAGGATGGGAGGATGCGAGAATTCGCGACACCAGGTGAAGTAGGCGGAGTTCAGCCCAGCAAAACGAGCATGCACACTCCTTCCGTGAAAGCGGTTCGACAGCATGGCCAATGCCGATCCCAGGAACACCTTCCCCACTCCCAAATGCCAGGAGTGCCAAAGATCGTAAGCGAAAATATCTGCTTCCTGTGATCGTGTGCAAAGAAGCGAAGTCAAAGGAGACGGCGGGTCCAAAAAAGGGCTCTGGACGTGAAGTGTCCCGAGCCACGATGGATTGCGGCTCTCCATGCACTCGAAGGCATGTTCCAACTGCCCCGCCTTGCACTTGTGGCACACCCCAGCCGGCGGCTTCTTGAGCTTCTTCAAGTTTTTGATCGCATGACTGAAGCTCCGACCCAGATTTCCAGCCTTGACTAGCCAGGGCCAATCGCCAGTAACATTCAGGACCACCGCCCAGTACTTTGCACCAGTGTGCCTGTGCCGAATACCAGATTTCCACATGTACTCGGCCTCAGCAGCGGCATTTTCCAGCATCGCATCGAAGACGAAGTCGTCCTGGTATGCCTTCTTCGGCATCGCACACTGCAGGTACCGATTGGTATAGGAATGTCCGATAAAATTCGGCTTCAGCTTGGTGTATTCCTTGCGAGCACCAGCCTTGGCTTGAGCCTGAAGTCCAGCTCGAATCCCTCGTCCAAGTAGTCCATGGAATGAAGTCACGAGGAATGGCGTCCTCCGCCTCCCTCTGCCTTCATCCCCGTGGTACAGCAGTGGTGCGGTTCGAGCCAAGTTGATTTTCATGGAATCAACCAGCCGAAACACCTCATGATCGGGATGGCACTGCTGAAATCTGTGCCAAAATTCTCTCAAGGTGGCTTGTTCCCGATCTGCATCTGGCCGAACCAAGCCACAAAGCACATGCCAGCAGTTGCGATGGATGAGGAAATCCATCCAATCCCTCAAACGGAGAGTTGGAAAAACCGTCCCCGCAAGCATCGAAATCGGCACTGGCAGGCTGAGCTTCAGCTGCTTCGCAATCAAGCGATGCGAATCTCGCTCAAGATGCCCGTCACTACAGGAAGCTAGAGCAGAAAGACCGCCACTTGAGCTTGCTGCCACCTCGCCGATGTCCGAAACGACATCCCGAGCCACCCGCACGGCGGCTGCACAGGAGCAGGCCTGGGCGAATCGGGCTTTCCAATCAAAAAAATTTTCGGGTCCCTCGGCTTACATCGGGGTTTAGGAAAAAGCTCTCGGGTCCTTCGGTTTAGGCGCCAATCAAACAAGCTTTCGGGTCTGTAGGGTTGCGAGGGTTCATATAGGTACTTCACTCGGAGTTTCCCGATTCCCAAGTATATATAATAGTCTTGATACAGCAGGGAAATGCTAATCGGATCTGTGCTTTCGTCAGCTGAGACTGCTGCACTGGCCAGAGCAAGAGCACTCTTTTTTGTTGCTGCCACCTGTTCGTTGAGGCCATATGTGCATGCCACACATGGCTTTCTCGCAGCTGCCAGACTGCTATAAGAGGAAGGCCTTCGGACTTCAGGGCGGCGCTTTTCTTTTCATGGCACCAGGAAAGCGAAAGGATCTGTAGACTACATATGTCATGTAGATAGGCATAACTTCCGAAGTCGAGCTTGCTACATCCTCCTTCACCGTATCGCCGCCGGAACGAACATTCCTGCACCCAGGTCTGCCGGGGATGTACATTAGGCGGTTTTTCTGGTAGGGTCGACACAGAAGTTGGCTGCAGGGTGCATATACAGTGTTTCGGTTTTGCTTAGGATCAAGTTTACCTAATGGTTAATTGAAATATTTTGGGATTCTTAATTGGGGACAAGTTGCTTTGATATTTCTCGATCAGAGCAGCCTCGAGAAAAGCAGGGCCATGGGGCTCGTGGCTCGCAAAAAGAACAATCATCCCAGCCCAGCAGTCTCTAGCATACTTGTACCCGTAGATGCTATTGCTCCACCTCCAAATAGGATCGTGGGTCCATCCAATTTTGAAGATTAACGGCTCTTCCTTTGAGAACAGAACCTCCACTCTTCGGATAGCATGCTGAAGCACTGCACCAGCTGAAAGGCTGTTCTGGGGCACCGAAAAGAAGATGCAGCCAAGAGCCTCGGCCTCGTCCATGAAACGAGCCAGGGACTTCGAGATGTCGGGTCGCGACATCGTCGTCGTAGTTTGCGGGGTTTTCTTCGAGCTTATCGGGGCTACATTCCTCGTAGAATCAGCTTGTACTCTCCACGGATACGGCCCATCAGACTCCTTAGTTGAGGGGACACTTAACATTCGATGAAGGATTGAAGTTGAAGTTCAGGGTTTTGCCTTTGCGGGGTTTGGGCAGGGCAAGGTGCAGGCAAGGATCATCTCTGTGGCACGTGAGAAGCTCCCAGAGTTCAGCATCGATATCATCCCCACTTGCAGGCATGGCAGCGAAGCAAAGATCATCTTAGTACACTAGCTAGCGTATCCTCCCGCCACCTCCCTCTACACCTCCGGGGAGTACGTAGCAAGCCTAGCTTAAGCTAACTGGCTTCACGCAGTAGCACGGACAACACGAACTTCTCTCTTTTTAGCGTTGTGGCGAAGTCCCGCGTTAGCCCGGAGAAGAACTCTAGCCTTTGGCTAGCTAATCTCCAGGGTGGGTTGGGTGGGCACTCGAAATTTGCCCCCCAATAGCTGGGGGCCTTTCAGCACAATGGCCACGGAGTAGCACTGCTTCACCGGCCATGTGCAGTCACTCTAGCAAACAGACAAGCTTCGTTCTGTTTAGCTTCAGAGGAAAACCCCTTCGACGTTTTCTAGCGAAACACCTTCGATGTTTCCCAAAGGGATACTAGCGCTAGCATACACTGTCGTACCTCGTCCCTCGGCACGAGTGCGTACACTAGCTAGCGTATCCTCCCGCCACCTCCCTCTACACCTCCGGGGAGTACGTAGCAAGCCTAGCTTAAGCTAGCTGGCTTCACGCAGTAGCACGGACAACACGAACTTCTCTCTTTTTAGCGTTGTGGCGAAGTCCCGCGTTAGCCCGGAGAAGAACTCTAGCCTTTGGCTAGCTAATCTCCTTGCGCAGCCGTAGGGCTACCAGGGACCTAGCTTACGGGCCTTCTTAGCGAACCTCGGAGCCTTCGGCTCTCCGGTCCTTTTCCTCACTCCTAGCTCCTGGAAGTAGCTAGCCGAGTGTTCGAGGAGACGGCCCAGCACGCGCCACTCTAGCTTTTCCCCCTCCAGGTTCACCCTGAAGTCCGGGGAGAAACTAGCGAAGTTCTCGTTCGTGAGGTCGTCCGCTAGCTGGTTCAGATCCCTGCGGATCCACTGTAGCTGAAGCTCACAGTTCTTAGCGGAGAGTTCCTCTGCTAGCTCCATCAACACCAAGGTCGATGGGAACTTCGTCGTCATAGCTTTCTTCAGTAGCGCCTCGTTGGACTGGTTGTCGGTGTAGCCACGGATGGCCACCTTGGAGGTCTTCTTAGCGTCCCCTTCCGGGACCCAGAGCCTCACACCAACCAGAGTAGCCAGTAGCTCCAGCGCGGCTATGACCTTGTTCGGATCCCCTTTAGCGAAGGCCCAGGGGGCCCATTCCTTCTTAACCTCTAGCGAGAACCAGGGACCGTGGCAGCCGTCCACTAGCTCGAGGAAGCCCCCAATCCAGGCACGTCCATTCTCGGCTTTAGCGTCGGTGTAAAAGGAGAGCGGGGCCGCACAGTCCAATAGCGAGGCCGGCTTCTGGAGACGGCCTCCTGCTTCCAGGCGATCTGCTAGCCAACCACAGAGGACGCGAATCATCGTGGCAGTCTAGCGCCATGGAAGCGAACCCCAGGCGCCCTAGCCCCTGTGCGAAGGGTCGGGCCTCACACTTCCCATCTCGGACTAGCTTCCGAAGCCATTCCACTAGCCAGTCGGTTCTCTTCTGAGACAGGCCTAGCCTCCAGGTGGAGTACTCCGTTTCCATGCCTGGCCACTCCACCCGAAATCCCCCCCTCGTCTTGGCCCATTTGAAAGGGCACCCAAGACTAGCGAGGAAGAGATAGCTTAGCGGGATCCCCATGCGTCCTCTAGCCCCTCGGCCCAAGGACTCGAGGTCGTCGGCATAGAGTAGCATGTCTAGCGGGAACGATGGCCCTAGCAGGTGGTACGTGAGTCGAAAGTAGCTCGCACATGATAGCCCGAAGGTCCCCACCAGATTCACGTAAACCGTCTGGCTGTCGGGGTCCCCCGGTATAGCTTCCTCGGTGTCGATCTGACATCCCAGGTAGCCATGCTCTCCTTCAGCAGGCTTGTAGCGTCGGTGTGCTTTAGCGATGTCGCCCACCACGGAGAAGGCCACCTCGTTAGCGTCGATGTGCTCCCGGAGTAGCTGCTTCTTCTCCCTAGCTCCTGGGGCCCGGATCTTGTCCCGGCACTTGATGCGGTGGTTGACCCGGACCGCGTGGGTAGCGTCGTGGATCATCCTCTTCTTTCCACTAGCTTCGTCCTCGACGATGACGGCTAGCGCGGCGATGGCTCGGTGCTCACCGTAGCGGGCTTTGAACTCGCCTAGCGTCATCTTGGCCATGAGGCCCTCCGCCACGTCCTCTTCGAACTTTTCCCTAGCGAACTCGCGGTACTCCTCCACCGAGGAGTAGTTCGGTACCCAGGCTAGCGCCGCCTCCCAAGGAGCGTTCTCCAAGGGCCACTTTAGCTGCTCCTCGAAAGGTAGCCCCTCCTCGGCCTGGAGGAGGAAGTCACGGTCGGGGTCACCGGCCGCGGTCAGTAGCGCCCTGATCAGGCGAAGGTATAGCGGTTGTTTCGGGGCCACCTTTAACAGCTCCGGGTCTCCCAGGTCGTTAGCCTCCAACCACTCTTTCCAGACCAAGCGTAGCTGCTCCTGAAGCTCCTCAGAGCTAGCCAGGGCGCAGCCCCTAGCTCCACCGGCAGCCATGCGAAAGGCTTCCTTTTCTAGCTCCGCCTCCTAGCACTCGTGGACCCTCCGGCTCGCAGGTCAGGAAGGTCTCGCGTAGCGGGCACTCCGGCCTAGCGCCACCCCCCTCCCCCTGGGCAGCGATAGCAGGGTGCTGGCAGGAGTCCAGAATCAGGGTAGCCAGCCACTGGCACAGCCTAGCGGGCCACTTTTCGGAACCTGAGGTCTTGAAGGGGCCCTTAGCGCTGCGCTTGAACATGCGTCCCAGAGTAGCAGCAGAAGGCAGCGGTCCTGTGTAGCGGCCCTTTTTGTCATAGCACGGCGGGCCTTCGTGTACAAAGTCGGGCATAGCAGAAGAGCACTTCAGCAACAGCCGAGTCGGTTTAGCGTTGGCGTACCAAAACTAGCCTGGTGGAAGGCCACGGTCCGTAGCCCCTTTTGCAGAAGGTCGGCTAGCGGCGGCCACTGCCACATGGAGGCCGGCCGTGTCCCTTGGTGCGGACCCTTAGCGAGGGCCCCAAGGTCTTCCGGCTGCTCCATTGCAGAAAAGTAGCTGCACCCTCGGCCACGAGGTTAGCGACCTCGAAGCTGAAATCCGCAAAAATGTTGCCCAGTATAGCGCGATCTCTCTCAGCAGGTGTTAGCGTCTCCAGGCCGCGGGGAAATTCATAGCTTCGCACAGGGCGGGGCCCCTGAAAGTTAGCCCAGGGCGCTCTGGAGAAGCTAGCGCACGGTGGAGAGAGCACGACCGCGTCGAACTCCTTGTTAGCTATCCGGTCCAGGTAGCTTTGCCGGATTTTGGGCTGACTAAGGTCGTATTTAACGTGCCGCAGAAGGTCGACACACTCGACCCGTACATCTCGCCCGAGCTCTGCTGCTAGCTGGCGCAGACACTGCGCCACATCTAGCCGGCGCGATGTACCAGAGAAAAGGTAGAGCACCCGTAGCGGCTGTGCAGGCGTAGCGGCCACCGGGGTCGGCGTAGCATCCCCTGTCGGGGGGGTCTCAGGCACTGAGGTCGCAGCCGCCATAGCGGGTCAGTTGGAGGGCTTGTCCTCCTTAGCGGCCTCCGTCTGCTTCCTGGTGGGGCACTGCGTAGCGGGGTGCTTTCCGAAGGATAGCGAGCAGACGTGCTCGAAGTGGCACTTGCTGCCATTCTTGCAGCCCTTAGCGTTGTAGCGGAAGCAGATAGGCTTCCCTTGCGGGGTGCGATCGACACCCAAACGCTTCTTAGCCTTGGCCCCCTTGGGGGGGGCGTCTTTGCCTTTGCCCTTCCCCTTGGGGGTCTTAGCGGGCCGTTCCTCTGTCCAGTTCCACGGCTGTGGCCGCTTAGCATGGAGGGCTAGCGGCGTGGTGAAGTGCCGCTCCTTCACACTAGCGTCCTTGTAAGCCAGGACTAGCGCGGCGCCGAAGGAATAGCCGGCAGTGGCCATGACCTTGTACGCGTGCTTCCGGATAGCGTGCTCGTAGCTGAGCACCAAGGGCCACGGGGGCACTAGCGACCCCGAGTCGGCGCTAGATCGAAGACCATAGCAGTAGTCTCCGAGGAGATAGTCCTTGTAGCGCTCGAAGAGGGCCATGGTGACATCCTGTAGCTCTTCCCGATTGGGGTGCCTTAGCTGCATCATAATTAGCGTGTTCTGGAGGACCGTGAGCCGCAGCCCTACCTCCGGCCCAGAGGGCGTGGAGGCCCTAGCTCCCCCCTTCTTCATGGATAGCGTGCCATTGCCATTCCAGACGGGCAGTAGCGTGTCCGGGTCCCACTCGTCCCGGCTGATGACCTCGGTTAGCGGCTCCGCCCGGAACTCGCCGGATTCGAGCTCGGCTAGCTTCTTCTCGATGTACTCCTTAGCGGGGGTCTGCTTGTCCTCCAGATCTCCAAACTTAGCGGTGAAGGCCTGGCGCATGGCCATGTAGTCGGTAGCTGGGATGGGCTTCGCCCAATCCCGGACCTCGCTTGTAGCCTCCGCCTCCGCTTGCCGCTCGGTGCGGGAGTTAGCGGTCCTCCATGCGATGGTGACCCCCGCGGCCTGAGCGCGGCTAGCGAGCGAGGTGGACGGCTCAATCGCGAAGCTGTCTTTTAACATCTTCTTGAGGTCAGCCTCATCTGTCGCTGAGGCGGCGAACTTAGCGACGGTATCAATACCGTTGGAAAAGAGCTCGGATTGGATAGCATCCGAGACTTTGTGCTGCACTAGCAGGAACCGAAGCTCGCTGCTTCCGAGGGCTAGCTTCTTTGCCAGAGCCTCTGCCATGGTAGCAGGCA